GACCGCGAGATCGTGACCTGGCTGAAGTCGGACGCTTAACCGACTGCGCCACCCAGGCGCCCCTCTTCATGTTATTCTTGCCACTCTAGGTCTATATCCTGATCAAGTCTCCTAGTTCATGCCGTCTCAAGCAAAACAAGACCATCTAATGTTGCTGCTCTGAAAGGCTCTCTTCAAGTGATTTCTGTTTCCTCGGGGGAAGAAGTCAGAATATTTATCCAAAGAGGAAAGAAACCACTACAGTATTATTACGGAATAACTACCACAGTACTTACGAATCACGTACACGGATGAAAAACATTAAGTAATTCAGCACAACAGGAAGAAACCCATCACCAGAATCACACCAATTCGGTTTGCTTCCACCACTGAGGTTAGTGTACGTTTTTACCTATATCAATACCGTCAGTATTTACCCAATGGTGCTGAACACCTGACACTTTAATCCCAAAAATCTACAAAGAGCACTGGATTGGGAACCAAGAGGCACGGTCCACTGTGGCCATTACTAGCTTTGTCTCCAATTTATAACCTATATGAATTCAGTTCCACCACTTAATCTAACACCAAGGATCCTGAACTATAAAAGAAAGAATTCTGTAGATCTGGAGTCACAGTCATAAGCCTGGGGACTAGGGCCTATGGATAATCATCTGGGGCTTATAAAGCCGCAGAAATTCCCTCTGAATGTGTTGTCTACATTTCTACTTGTACTTTTCTGGGGAAAGGTTCTACAGTTTTCAACAGATTCTCAAAAGGAGCCAAGACTCACCTATTTCCCTGCACTTAGGAACCATTTTAATCAGGATACTTTTTACTTAACAAACAGCAAAAGCTGATAACCCAAAGTATGGTGCATGGGTCTGGCCAGGCTTTTTCATCTGGATTCCATACTCTTCAAAGTCTACCGTCACAAAATAACAATGCTTCGTGGTTTTCAAGTATAAGACAAAGTTCTTACAATCCCACAACTTCTTAGAAAACTGTACGTTGTGAAAATAATGTACAAGGCTTTGGGTCGTAACGATTTATTTTTCTACTCCTCAGATATATTAACCTGCTGAATCGCCTGGAGGCACGTTTTAGCCTCAGACGACTCTTAGCGGTGAACTGTAAAGTAAGATCATTCTAGGCCTATGTAAGTCTCTTCCCTAGACTGACAGTGACAGGAGCGAGGGGAAGAAAGGGCAGGCCCTCTAAATAGAAACACATTTTTAATGCTGGTCGTGTATTTCAGGCAAGATTTGAAATTCCTTAAAAACAACCATTTGCAACTCCTCCAGGAGATTCCCGCTTTCATCAGTCCAGAGAGCGCCCTACGTCAAACCGGGAAACTGAGGCTAGGGTTTCGCGTCCCTTCAAGGGGCACAAGAGGATGGAAGAGTGGGCACCGCGGACAAGTGAAGCGGGGATAACAGTCGGATAGCTGGTCGCTCTCGGCCGGGAAGCGAGGAAAGTCAGCAAGGGCGGCCTCCTGACTCCTTGGGGTTACGCCGCAGTTCAGCCCCTTCCCCTCGGCGGCTCAGCTCCCAACCTTCCTGCCCCTTCCAGACGGTCCGAGGACCCCCGCCGTGACCACAGTTCCCCGCAGAACCCTCCTTCGGCAAGAGGCGGCGCCTGGGGCAAGGAGGGGCGGAGGGCCATCGCTCAGAGGCTCCCGCCCACCGTGGGCCAAAGTTGCCCCCAGCCCCGGAGAGCGGCCTCGGCCTCGGCCTCCGCCCCCCGCGCGGCCCTGGCCGGCCTTACCTTGAGCGCCAGGTGGTGGACGCGGCCCAGGCCGGGCTGAGCCAGCAGCTGCAGCAGCCCCAGCAGCGGCAGCAGCCGGAGGCCGGCGGCCAGCGGAGGACGGCGGGAGCCCGAGGGGCCGACTGGCGCCGGGGCGGCCATGTTTGTTCCAGCATCACCAGCCGCTTCCTCTCCCGCCCACTTCCGGGGGCAAAGGGCGGCGGCCCCCGGAAGGGCCTGGAAGCGGGGCTCGGAGGCCGGCCGCCGGGGGCTTGTGGGCCTTGACCTGGAGCGTGCGGCCCGGGAGGTCGCCGAGGGGCTGAGAGCGGCCACCTTGGGGCGATTCAGTTGGCCTCTCCGACGCAGACTCTCTGTTTAGCCGGAAGAGGTGGAGTTTCCCCCTCCCCCCATGGAGAAGTCTGTGGCGGTTGCCATGGCAAAAGCCCCGGGCAGGAAACCCTCCCCCCACCCACCCAGGGGCCTCACCTCCGCCCCGCGGAGTTTTGAAAGCCACCTTGGGCCTGCAGGACCGCGGCCGCAGGGGAATCCGGGTTGTCTGCGGGCGGGGAGTCTTACGCTGTGGCCACAGCACCGTGCCCCGCCGACGATCGGCCTGCTTTCGGGAGCGGCGTGGACTCGGTGGAAAATACCAAGTTCCGGGCTTGTCGTAGGGCCCTTGGTTTTGTGGAGGCACTCACACTAAAGTGTCAGACGAAATGTTTGCAGTCAGACGATTTATTGAGCCCTCATCAGGTGCTTAGGCCTTTTGTGTTGCATTACTGCGTTGAATCCTTGGAGCAGTCTGGTGAGGTAGGAGGTAGGCAGGACCGTTATCCCCACTTTACAGGTAAGCAAACTGAGGCTCTGAGAAATTAAGTCGTTTGTTCCAGGTTGAGCTGGGAATCACACGGAAACTTCCAAGTACTGTGTTGTATGGCCCCACATTATTTCATCCGACCGCTAGAGCCTGAGGGTCAACGTTTGTCCCTCCAAACAAACTTTCTTTGCTTCCAATCTGGGATTTGTAGGGAGATCTTCAATAGCGAATTCAGTAGTGGGTTCCCTCTCTCACCACCTTTTATCAAGAAGCTAGAGAAACGGGGCGCCTGGGTGGCTCAGTCGGTCAAGCATCTGACTTCAGCTCAGGTCATGGCCTCCTGGTGGGGGGGTTCCAGCCCGGGGTGGGGCTCTGTGCTGACAGCTCGGAGCCTGGAGCCTGTTTCGGATTCTGTCTCCCTCTCTCTCTCTGTTCCTCC